ATTGATTTCAACTAATAGTGACCCTTTTAGGACAGAGTATAGAGCTGCCCCATAGGATTTCCAAGGCTATAAATCATTATGGAAGCAGACTGCCTCATCTTTCCGGCGGCATGGCTGGTGGGTTCAAACTGCCAACTTTTTGGTTCGCAGCCAAAAGCTTTAACTGGTAAGTCATCAGACTGCCTGTATAGAACATGTTGATCCTGTTCTAAGAGCTTTAGAGGAAGTTCCTTGGTTCAACATAGTTTAATATATTGTTGCTTAGTAGCAGACAGATGGCAAGTTTAGAGATTACTGAGTTGTTTCTATTTTTATTAAGTAAAATCAGTGCCACAATATTGTCTTTTTAAAATATTTTTTCCAAGTATTGTATGAGTTTGTTCTTATTGAAAAAAAGCTTGGATTTAGAGAAGTGTATATAAAAATGGGAAACTCATCTTCAATCCCTCCCTCCAATTTTGCCACCAGATTCCAGGAAATACTTTCTAACAGTTTAGAGTGTGTCCTTCCAGACATTTTCCTTTGAAAGATTTAAATAAAATTAAGGTTGCAAATAAAACTTCAGTTCTCTTTGATGAAGGAGCTCTGGTGGCATAGTGCCTAAGGCATTTGACTGCTAACCAGAAGCCTGGCGCTTCAAATCCACCAGCCACTCCTCATAAGGAAGGTTGGGCAATCTACTTCCATAGTGATACCACCTTAGAAACCCAAGGAGGGTCTCTATGAGTCAGATCCAACTCAATGGCAGTAAGTTTGGTTTTGGTTTTTTTCTCTCTGATGACCACTTCAAATCCTGATCTCCTCCCTATTTGCCCATTCTCATTTATTTGGTATGAGTCCTTCCAGTTGTTTGTCTGTTTTTCACATTTACATTCAGATAAATGTACTCATAGAATATATATGTGGGTGTGTTTAACATACTGTATATTTCATCACTCTTTTTTTTTTTTAATTTTATTTTGATTTGGGTGAAGATTTACAGAGTAAATTCACTCTTCATACAGCAGTTCACATATACTTTGTCTCATGTCATTGACCAAAATTTACAATGCAACAGCTCCCCTCCCATTTCCTCCCCATAGTTAGCTCTTCCCAGTGTCCATCCCTCCATACTCTTCTGCGCCCTGAGCTGTCTCCCTGTGCATAAGCAGCCCTTCCTTCTCCCATATTTCATCACTCTTAAGACTCATTGTTATTTTATATATTATTATTTTATATATTATTTGGGAGCTCTGGTAGCATAGTGGCTAAGGCACTTGACTGCTAACCAGAAGGCTGGCGGTTCAAACCCACCAGCCACTCCTCGGAAGGAAGATGGGGCAATCTACTTCCGTAGTGATACTGCCTTGGAAACCCAAGGAGGGGTCGCTATGAGTCGGATCCGACTCGAATGGCACATAACAACAACAACAAACTGATAGTAGGAATGTTAAAATATGTGTTTGTGAGGGACAGGGTGCTTCTTAGGATTGATGAAATACATTGTGTACTATGATTGTATGTAGTTTTCTGCAAGTTGCTTTTTTTTTTTCCTTAATATTTCCGTAATTGCTTCATTTTTACCACAGACCACATTATACCATAGACCACATTATTTAGTAAATCCCTAAATATGGATGAATTTTTAAGTTGTTTCCAGTAACAAGAAAACAGTATTGTATTTACCTCTTTGTATGTATTTGGGAGTGCTTATCAAGGATAGATAATGAGAATTGGAATTCTTGGGTCATAGGACAATGTTATTAGTTGCCATGGACTTGATTCCAACTTATGATAAACTTATGTTCAAGGAAATAAAATTTTGCCCAGTCCTGTGTCATCCTCACAGTCTTTAGTATGTTTGAGCCCATTGTTTTAGGCACTATGTCAGTCTATTACATGGAGAGTTTCTCTCATTTTCACTGACCTTTACCAAACATAATATCTTTTTCTAGCACTTGATCTTTCCTGATGATGTGTCAGTAAGCAAGACAAGTCTTGCCTCCCTTTCTTCTAAGGAGCATTCTGGCTGTACTTCCTCAAGACACATTTGTTCTTTCTTCTGGTAACCAAAAAACAAACTCACTGCTGTCAAGTTGATTCAACTCATAGTGATAGCGACTCCTCCTTGGGTTTGTTTTCAAGGCAGTATCTCTATAGAAGTAGATTGCCCAATCTTCCTTCCAAGGAGTGGCTGGTGGGTTTGAAACTGCCAGCCTTCTGGTTAAGCAGTCAAATGCCTTGGGCACTGCACCACCAAGTATATTCAATATTTTTTGCCAACACCACATTTCAAGTGAATCACTATTTCTTTGATCTTCCTTTTTCATTGTCCAGTTTTCACATGCATATGAGGTGATTGAAAAGACTATGGCTTGGGTCAGGTGCACCTTACTCATCAAAGTGACATTTCTGCTCATTTACTCTTTTTAGAAGAAATCTTTTTGCAGCAGATTTGCCCAGTGTGCTATGTTACTGTTTGATTTCTTGATTGCTCATTCTCCGTGGGCGTTGACTGTTGTCCAAGAAGAATGAAATCCTTGACTTCAATTTCTTCACCATTTATCATGATATTGTTTATTGGTCCAGTTGTGAAGATTTTTGCTTTTCTTTACATTGAGGTGTAATCTGTATTGAAATCTGTAGTCTCTGACCTTTATTAGTAAATGCTTCAAGTCATCGGCAATTATTAACAAATGATTATTTGTTCAGCATGCAGATTGAATAAGTACAGTGAAAGAGACAACCCTGTTGCACAACTTTTCCGATTTTAAATCACTCAGTGTCCTCTTGTTCCGTTTCAACAGATGCTTCTTGATCCATGTACAGGTTCCACCTGAACACAATGAAGTATTCTGGAATTCCCATTCATTGTAATGTTACCCATAATTTGTCATGATCCATAGTCACATGCCTCAAATATTTTTGTGATACTTAATTGTGCTTTAGGTGAAAGTTTACACAGCAAATTAAGTTCCCCTTTAACAGTTTTACAGATTGGTTGGTTTTTACAATGTGTTGGCATTCTTACTATTTTCATTCTATTTGTTCTGTTTCCATTGATATAGCGTCCCTTCCCTTCCTTGCCTTCTCACTTTTGCTTTTAGGTAAATGTTGACCATTCGGTTACACATAGTTCATTGTTTAAGGAAGCACATTACTCATAGTGCTATTGTTTATTTTATAAGCTAATTTATTCTTTGGCTGTAAAGTGATCTGCAGAAATAGCTTGAATTCCATTCTTAAAAGATTATGTTAGGGCAATAGTCCCCAGTGTTCTTCTAGTCTATTGGTCTATAAGTCTGGCCTTTTTTAGCAACTTGAGTTTTGTTGTACTTTTCTTCCATTCTATTTGGCACCTTCTGTTGTGTCCTGGTCAGAATGATTGGTTGTGGTAGCTGGGCACCATCTAGTTTTACTGGTCACAGGTTAGAAAAGGCTGTGGGTTGTGTCGGCTCTTAGTCCCATGGATTAGTTTCTTCTTTGAGCCTTTGCTTTTCTTTATTCTCTTTTGCTGAATACAAATAAAGACCAATAGTTTTATCTTAGATGTCTGCTCATAAACTTTTAAGACCCTAGACACTACTCAGGAGCTCTGGTAGCTTAGTGCCTAAGGCACTTGACTGCTAACCAGAAAGCTGGCAGTTGAAACCCAAGGAGGGGTCACTATGAGTTGGGTCCAACTCGACGCCATGTAACAACAACAGCAGACACTACTCACCAAACTAGGATGTAAAATATTACCTTTATGGAAAAGCCTTAAATTTTGAAGTGTATTGTCAAATTACCCTCTAGGATAATTATCAATATAGACTTCTAATATTAGTGTACAAATGAGTACCTGTTTATTCCATTCTCATCAACTCTTGATATTATTTATATATATCTTTTTTCTACCTATCCAATGGGAGGAGTCTTGGTGTCTCAGTTTTAATTTCTAATCTCCCTCATGATTAATGAGGTTGAGTATCTTTTTGGATGCTTATTTGCTAAGTGTATTTTTTTTTCTTCTCTGAATTTCCTGTTTATATCCTTTGACCCATGTTATTTTGTCCTTCCATTAATGATTTTTATTTCAGTGACCACTTCGTATATGGCTAATATTAAGTTGTAGGAGGATATGCTATTTTCCATCTTTTTTCAAGTTTGAGATTTTGTAGTCTTTTGTTATCATTGCCATCAACCAGTAATTAATGCTACCATCAAGCAGAACTGTGCTTTGTAAGGATTTCTCCATTTTACCAGCACCCAGTGTCATACTATTTTTGAGTATTTGTGGTAGTCTTTATAGCTTGAACTGGCTTTGATCATAATTACTCTTGTAAACTTGTCAGAGGCCAACCATAATAAGAAGAAAGGAAAAGGATGTAATAGTTATGATTAATGTTATCTTATCATCTATGAGATGGCAGTGGAATTCTTACCTTATTAATGAACAAACTAAATCCTTACTTATTAATGGACACTTACTAAGTGTTCCTTAGCTAGGAAATGTCTGACTGAGGTGAGATTTAAAGCTAGGTTTGTCTGTTTCCAAAATCCCTTCCATTATATCATACTGCTTCAGGGGGATGGATAAATTTTGACTACAGCATTTCAAAGCGTATATAATCTGTTAAGTATGTTCATGTTAAAAGTAATTAATACAAATTTATTTTTTAAAACTGGTTCTTTCACGTTGTTATTAATATGTGTAAAATATAGTAGGTGGTAATAATTGTATATGTGTGCCTGAATGCAGCTTGATCGATTTCTATGTCATATTTTTAACATAAGCTTGGCTTCTTTTTTGAAAAATAAATACTTCAGTATAAAGGGATTTTGTCTTAGACTCCTCTTACTGTAAAAATTTAGTAATTGAAATTTAAAATAACTATGAAAATCACTACAGTAGTGTTTATATCCACTACTATATGCAGTTTGCAACATACCTTATGGCAAGAGTTTAGAATATAATGCTGAAAATTACATTATTTTTTTCCAGTGTTAATTGTTTTCTTTGTGTTCCTTTTTCTTAACAGAAAAAGATGGAAAAGCATTTCATCCAACTTACGAAGAAAAACTAAAACTCGTGGCACTGCATAAGCAGGTTCTTATGGGTCCATATAATCCAGACACTTGTCCTGAGGTTGGATTCTTTGATGTGTTGGGGAATGATAGGAGGTAACAATGTTTTGTTGTATAATGAATTTAAGGAGAATGATGTTGAAAAGGGTATAAAGTGAATTGCTTAGAGTGCAGCATCTGTAGTCTTCAAATGTTTCTTTATGGCTTAGAAAGGTTTATGGATAAATATTATGGAAGAAGTTTACTTACCTGATGATGACTAAAAGATAAGTACAGGTTAACTTGACTCTTCTTTAAACACTGTTAAAAGTAGCCTTTAAACAAATAGTAACTGATCCTCTTGTTGGGACAGAGAGTTGTGACAAAAAGAAACACACTTGAGTATTTCATTCAGTTAAGGCTGAAATATGCTAAAAGGAAAATAAAATTTTGATAGCCTTTTGCTAGCATGGGAATCATAAAGAATGAAGTTGTAAGTAGCTCTTTGTAGTTTACAATAATAAGCTTAATGATATATGGCAAACTTAATTTCGTAAGCCTGCATGGTTATTGAAAGCTTGAAGTTTTGAGCCTTATACTTTTCGTACAATCAGAAAGAGAATTAGATAACTTTTGTTATTCTTTACAGGAGAGAATGGTCAGCCCTGGGAAACATGTCAAAAGAAGATGCCATGGTAGAGTTTGTCAAGCTCCTAAATAGATGTTGCCATCTCTTTTCAACATATGTTGCATCCCACAAAATAGAGAAGGAAGAGCAAGAAAAAAAAAGGTGAAATTTGAGGACACAGAATACTTTATCCCTGTGCAACCCAACATATTGATGCTTTTGCTTTACGGAGGGTCTGTTGTAGGATCCCCACTTTGTTTGGCAGTTGTTCACACTTCCTCATGTGAGCAAGTACTTATGAGTTTTGAGGGGAGGGGGCTGCTGCTTCCTTCTGGCTAAACATTTAAAAGGACCCAACCTATCCATTGTGTCAGCATTCCTTTTGTTTTATTACACTTAAGCTTTTGAACAAGCTGCACCATGAACTCAACCTCTACCTCCCCTTCCCTTGTGGGCTGACCCATACAAACACCCCTGACTGGTGTCTCCTGAACTTCTAGAGTATTCATGCTCCATTTCATAGTTGCTGACTTGTGCTACATGGTAGGCCTTATTTAATATTCATATTTAGCTCTGGTTTCCAGGTGGTTTATTAATTCTTGGGGATTAGAAGGAGAGCTGCTAGATGCGCTATTTATGTTTATGGAATTCTCTGTCTTGATTGTGAATTCAGCAGAATTAGAGTTAACTCTTTACTTATCCAGAAGTTTTATTTTCAGCAACTTTGACTATCTAAAACTTCTAGGTAACCAAAAAGACACTATAAAACCAATTTTACCTTAGAATACATTATATTTATTTTAGAAACACTTGCTTCTCTCATTTCCCACCTCAAACTGGATTAGAAACAATAAGATTATAAGAGAAAATAACCTGATAATGAGAGAGAAGACAGGAACCATGAGAAATAGATACAAGAATGTAAAATTTTAAATGGTCAGGGACCATTTAATATGAGGCCAAACTTCTCCATCATTACATTATGTACAGTACTACAATTTTTGTGTTTGTAGTTATAACTCCTGAGCCATTAAGAGATAGCCCTAAGTATAAGTTATTCTTGTTGAAGAAGACAGGAAACAGCTTAGTAGATTTTTATCCAAAGGAAGAATTTTTTTTTTCCCCAAGGAAAAATTTGTTCAGTCTTACAAAAATGGAATGAGATATTTTAAACTGGAAAATTGATTTATATGGTACAGTCCATTGTGTAGTAATGTTGGATCAATAAGGTGTAGCTATAATGTCTTTGAAAGTGTTTGTACATTGCTTTTTAAGTTGTTATTTTAATGACAAATACTCAGATTTCTCTTCAGCATTGCCAAAAGTTACTACTCGTTTTAATGTATAAATCTGCATTTTTCCCTTTTAAAACTATGCTTCTGACGTGAGATGAAGTTCATATAAAATTCTTTTAAAGCATTTAAGACTAGGGTTTATCTCTCTCGAAGTGTAAGCCCTGACTTGTAGAATATCTTGCCCTTTACCAGCTGTGACATGTTAAAATAGGTCATGTTAATCAAGGGCATATTTCCAAAACCAGCAGCAGCATTGTTCTTTAATGGAGAAAGATTGAGAGCATTCCCTCCAGAATGGGAATAAGATAAAGATGCTCATTGTTACCACTCTTCCTCAGTATTATACTGGAAATCCTAGTTAGAGGAGGAAGGCAAGAAGGGAACTCAAGGGTATACAAATTGGAAGGGATGAAGTAAAACTATCCTTTCACACAGATGACATGATCCTATCCATAGAAAATCCCAGAGACTCCACAAGAAAGTTGCTGGAACTAATAGAAGGATTCATCCATGTGGCAGGGTATAACAGAAAAGTCGGTTGGGTTTCTTTACACTAACAAGGTGCACACACTCTGTAATGGAAATTAAGAACCATTTACAATAGCTCCAAAAGAATAAAATACCTAGAAATAAACCTAAACAGGGACACAGAAGACTTACATGAGGAAAACTGTAAACCCCTACTGCAAGAAACTAAAGGAGATGTAAAGGAATGGAAGAACATTCCATGCTTGTGGATTGGAAGACTTATTGACACTGTGAAAATGTCGGTAGTTCCAAAAGTGACCTGTAGATACAATATGATCCTGATCCAAATCCCAACATCATTCTCTATTGAAATAGAAAAACTAATCTCCAACTTTATTTGGGAAGGAAAGAGGCCCCGAATAGCTAAAGCAATACTGAAGAAGAAAAACAAAGTAGAAGACCTCACACCTCCCAATATCAAAACTTACTATTTAGCTACAGTAATCACACCAGCCTGGTACTAGTTCAATGACAGACACATAGAACAATGGAACAGAATTGAGAACCCCGAAGTAAATCCATCCATCCATAGGCAACTGATCTTCAAAAAAGGGTCAAAGTCAATTCAGTGAAGAAGAAACAGTCTCTTTAATATACTGTGCTGGCAAAACTGGTTGTCCATTGGCAGAAAAATGAAACAAGATCCATGCCTCACACCATGCACAAAAACTGCCTCAAAGTGCATCAAAACCCTTAATGTTAAAGCTAAAACTATAAAGTTCCTGGAACATAATACAGGAACAAAACTAGGTGACCTGATTTCCAACATAAATAGCCTATTAAACACAAATAATGAGGCATGAACAACAGATAATTTAGATAACTGGGACCTTCTAAATATTAAGTGTTTATATTCATCAAAGACTACCAAAAGAGTAAAAAGAGAATCTATAGACGGGAAAAAATCTTTGGCAGTAGCCTATCCAACAAGGGTTTAATCTCTAAAATATATAGAAAACTTCAACAAAAAGATAAATAATCCTTTCGAAGAATGGGCAAAGGATACTTGACCAAAGAGGACATTAAGATGGCCAGTAAATACATTAAAAGATGCTCGTAACCATCAGCTGTTAGAGAAATGCAGATCAAAACTATGAGATACCATCTCACCCCTGTAAAAATAGCAATGACAAAAAAATCAACAAATGCTGGAGACATATACCAAGATTAAGAACTCTTTTTAAATATATATTGCTGTGTTTTAGATGAAAGTTTATAGAGCAGATTGGTTTCCCATGACATTGGTTGCATTCCCCATAATGTGTCAGCATGTCACCCCTGGGTTCCCTGTTCCTTTCATCAGAATTTTCTTCCCCTTCCTGCCTTCTCATCTTTGCTCTTTAGCAAATGTCCTTTTGACGTAATATGATTGATTATTCTAAGGAACACATTCCTCTTGGATATTATTGTTTATTTTATGGAGCTCTGGTAGCATAGTGCCTAAAGGCATTTGACTGCTAACCAGAAGGCTGGCAGTTCAAACCCACCAGCCACTTCTCAGAAGGAAGATGGGGCAATCTACTTCCATAGTGATACTGCCTTGGAAACCCAAGGAGGGTTCACTATGAGTTGGGTCCGACTCGAGGGCATATAACAACAACAGCATCTATTGTTAAGGGGCACTGGTGGTGTAATGGTTAAAACACGGGCTGTTAACCAACAGTCAGTGGTTTGAACCTACCAGCTGCTCCGTGGGAGAAAGATGAGGCAATCTGCTTCTGTAAAGATAGATAGCCTTGGAAACTCTATGAGGCAGTTCTGTTCAGCCCTAAAGTGTCGCTTTGAGTCAGAATTGACTAAGTGCAGTGGGTTTGGTTTTTTAATTTTGGGGGTGCTGAAAGGTGGTTCCATGAATGCCTTCATTTCTAGTTCAGAAGGATGTCTGAAGCCCGTTGTCTCAGGTGTTCCTCTAATCTGTCAGACCAGTAAGCCTTATGGTTTTTGTGAGTTTTATTTTTTTGTTCTACATTTTTCTCCTGTTCTATCCGAGATCCTCTATTGTGATTCTGGGATTGGAACTCTTACACAGTGCTGGTGGCATTGTATAATGGTACAACCACTAAGGAAAATGGTATGGTGCTTCTTCAAAAAGCTAAAAATAGAAATGCCTTATGATTCAGCAGTCCCACTCACAAGTATATATCCAAGAGATAGAGAGTAGTGACACAAATAAACATACGCATACCAGTGTTCATTGCCACGTTATTCACAGTAGCAAAAAGATAGAAACAATCTAAGTGCCCATCAGAGGACAAATAGATAAACTGTGATAGAATCATATGATGGAATACTCCCCAACTGGAAAGAACAATAAGGAGCCATGAAACATAACATGGGTGAGTCTGGAGAACATTATGCTGAGTGAAATAAGTCAATCACAAAAAGGCAAATACTGTATGGTTCCACTATTTTAAAAAGTTAGGAATAGATGTACACACAGAAAGAAATGTACTTTGATGGTTACCAGGGATGGGAGGAGGCAGGGAAGGAGAATCACTTTTTAGATAGTGTTGTTGTTGTTGTTATTTGCCGTCGAGTCGGCTCCGACTCATAGCAACCCCTCCTTGGGTTTCCGAGGCAGTTATCACTACGGAAGTAGGATTGCCCAACCTTCCTTCCGAGGAGTGGCTGGTGGGTTTG